AAAAAAACAGGTAGCAATCTAACAACCAACAGTGTTAAATGGTTATACAAATTATAGTAATTAACTTTATGGGAAGTTATATTGTCACTAAAATGATCACAATTATGTAACAACATGGAAACTGATTATGATATATCAAATAACAAAGATATATTTTATATATTCTGATTGGAAACAAATGCAATTAAGTTTATTTTAAATGGAAGAACATCTAAAATAATAGTTAGGCTAGGGTTGTGGTATTTAGTAATTTTTAAATTAATAGTTCTTAGTTTTCATGCTTTCTGTAATTTTGATATATTTCAATAAAAATAAATTAGGTAATTAGCCAAGATAGGGAAGCAACCTAAATGCCCGTGGATAGATGGGTAAACAAAGAAGAGGTGGTAACTATATACAACAGATTACTACTTGGTCATTAAGAAGAATGAAATTTTGCCATTTTTGACAATAGGGATGGACCTAGAGGGTATTATGGTAAGTGAAATAAGTCAGGCAGAGGAAGACAAATGCCATATGGTTTCACTTAAATGTGCAATCTAAAAATATACAATAGCCCTCGCTGGTGTGGCTCAGTGGATTGAGTGCCAGCCTGCAAACCAAAGGGTCACCGGTTTAATTCCCTGTCGCGGCACGTGTCTGGGTTGTAGACCAGGTCCCCAGAAGTGGGTGTGTGAGGCGCAACCACACATTAATGATTCTCTCCCTCTCTTTCTCTCTCCCTTCCCCTCTCTCTAAAAAATAAATAAATAAAATACTTTAAAAATAAAATAAATACAGTAAATGAACAAATAAAACAGAAATAAACTCACATACAGAGAACATTTTGATGGTTACCCAAGAGAAAGGAATTGAGGGAAGGGATTCAGATGTGCAATTTGCCAGTTATGAAAACAGTCACAAGGATGTAAAGTACAGCACAGGGAATACAGTCAATGATATTGTAATAACTGTATATGGGGCCAGGTGGGTACTAGACTGGGGCGTGGGTGGGGATCACATCGAAAGTTACATACCGTATTTTGCAGTGTATAATGCTCACTTTTTTGTGCAAATGTTTGAGGGAAAAATAAGGATGTGCATTATACATGGGGAGTACTAATTCTGTATCTATGTAAATGTGCTTAATTCTTTTATTTATGCTTATGCATGAAAAGTACAACTGTAGAAAGCAATGACGATATCCATTTGCAAAATAATACCCTGTACTACAATCATCAGTTTTGTTTCTAAATATAAAAAAATAAATAATTGGGTTAAACAATTAAAATGAGAGATTTTTTCCCCTGAAAGTTTGGGCCAAAAATGTGGATGTACATTATGTATGGGAAAATACAGTAAATGTCTAATCACTATCTTTTATATCTAAAACCAATATAAAATTGTATGTCAACTGTCACTGATCACGTTGAAAAAAATAGTTTTAGATATAATAAAATTCCAACATTTGCAAAATGATTTTTTTCAAAAGTTGATTGTTCAGAGGACGTTTTGCTTTCTTTTTATCAATTATAAAGAATTCAATTATTGTTATGAGTAAAGGTTAGTGAAGGAAAAATAATACATGCTTATGATAAAAAAGAATAAAGTAAATATTATCCAAATTTTCACTATCCAGATTATTTATTTTAATGCTAATACTACAAGAAATCTGTTTAGTGTATGCATATAATTATTTTTAAGGTTTTATTCATTTACTTTTTAGAGAGAAGGGAAGAGAAGGAGAAAGGGAGAGCAACATCAATATGTGGTTGCCTCTTGTGCACCCCCCATTGGGGACCTGGCCTGCAACCCAGGCATGTGCCCTGACTGGGAATCGAACCAACAACCTTTACGTTCACAGGCCCGTGCTCAATCCACTGAGCCACACCAGCCAGGGCACATGTAATTATTAATCAATGGGTTCATACTATTAAAATATTATAATAACTATGTATGGAGTCAGGTGAGTACTAGACTTACCTGGGTGAACACTTTGTGTGTTATATAAATGTCTGATCACTATGCTGTACATCAGAAACTAATATAACGTCAACTGTTGAAGAATAAAAAGTAAAAATAAAAACATAAATTAAGAGATTAGATGTTATGATCACAAGCTCCAGTGTGTGGATGGCTGACTCCACACCCCATTGGGTGGTGCCATCTGAGTTTCTACAGCAGATGGCTCTGGTTTCTGACACCGGGGGTGGCTTGCTCCCAGTTGGCCTCTGAGTGGAGGTTGCTTATGGACAGTGGTACTGGAAGGGCTGTGTCCTGTTGTAGCTCTTCCACCCCAAATAGTGTGTGGGACACACACAATTATTATTTTTTAAAGAATTCTAGCTCTGGTTAGTGTGGTTCAGTGGATTGAGCATCAGCCTGCAAACCGAAGGGTCATTGTGTCAATTCTTGATCAGACCACATGCCTGGGTTGTGGGCTGGGTCTCCAGTAGGGGGCGCGCAAGAGACAACTAATCTATGTTTCTCCTCTTCCCTTCTCCCTCCCCCTCTCTCTAAAAATAAATAAATAAAATCTTAAATGGAAAAAAGGAATTTTATTTTTATGGTGTCATGACTTATATTTAAGTCTTTTATTTATCGTGAGTTTATTTGGGTGTATGGTGTAAGTTGGTGATCCACTTTTTTTTTTTTTTTGCATGTACCTGTCCAGATATCCCAACACCATTTATTGAAGAGGCTATTTTTACTCCATTTATTTACTACTGCCCCCTTTCTCAAATATTAATTGACTGGGTTTATTTGTGGGCTTTCTATTCTTTTCTATTGATCCATGTGTCTGTTCTTATGCTGGTACCAGACTTTGATTACAGTGGCTTTGTAATATAATTTGATATCACTTATTGTGATCCCTCCTACTTTGTTCTTCTTTTTCAAAATTGTTGATGCCTTTGGGATCATTTGTGGTTCCACATAAATTTTTGAAATATTTATTCTATATCTGTGAAATATGTCATTGGTATTTTGATAAGGATTACATTAAATTTATAGATTGCTTTGGGTAGTATGGACATTTTAATGATGTTAATTCTTCCTATCCATGAACACGGTATATTCTTCCATTTGTTTGTGTCTTCCTTAATTTCTTTCTTTAGTGATCTGTGGTTTTCTAAGTACAGGTCTTTTACCTCCTTTGTTCAGTTTATTCCTAGGTACTTTAGTTTTCTTGTTGCTATGGCAAATGGGATTTTTTTTCCTATTTCTGCTATTTCCTTGTCAGTGTACAAAAATGCCTTTGCTTTCTGAATATTGACTTTGCATCCCGCTGTTTTGCCAAATTCATCTACTCAGTCAAATAGTTTTTTGGTGGAGCCTCTGGGGTTTTCTATGTACACTATGATGTCATCTAATAACAATGACAGTTTTGCTTCCTCCTTTCCAATTTGGATGTCTTCTATTTCTTTTTCTGAAAAACATAGGCAGTAAAATGTCAGCTGTCCCACCAAGCAATATCTCAGTCAATATATCACATAGGGAAAGGAATATAAAGGAAAGAATAAACAAATGTGACTACATCAAATTAAAATGCTTCTGCATGGCTAAAGAAAACAGCAAAATGAAAAGGGAACCAACTCTATGGGAAAACATATTTGCCAATGATACCTTGGACAAGGGTTTGATCTCCAAAATATATGAAGAACTCATATGACTCAACATCAGGAAGAGAAAAAATCCAATTAAAAAAATGGGCAAAGGACTTGAACAGACACTTCTCCAAGGAGGACATACAGAGGGCCCATAAATATGTGAAAGGATGCTCAGCATCACTAGCCATCAGAAAGATGCACATTAAAACCACAATGAGATACTTTACATGGGTCAGAATGGCTACCATTAATAAATCAACAAACAACAATTACTGGAGAGGTTGTGGGAAAAAGGGAACCCTCATGCACTGTTGGTGGGAATGCAGACTGGTGCAGCCACTGTGGAAAATGGAATTTCCTCAAAAAACTAAAGATGGGACTGCCCTTTGATCCAGTGATCCCACCGCTGGGGTTATACCCTAAGAATCCTGAATCACCAATTGAAAAGAACCTATGCACCCCGATATTCATAGCAGCACAATTTACAATAGCCAAGTGCTGGAAGCAACCTAGGTGCCCATCAGTAAATGAATGGATCAAAAAACTAGGGCACATTTACACAATGGAATTCGATGCAGCAGAGAGAAAGAAGGAGCTCCTACCCTTTGAGACAGCATGGATGGAGCTGGAAAGCTGAGTGAGATAAGCCAGGTGGTGAAAGACAAATACCGTATGATCTTACCTATAAGTGGAACCTAATCAACAAAACAAACAAATAAACAAACTAGAACCAAAGACATGAAAATAAAGAACAAACTGACAGTGACCAGAGGGGAGGAAGGAGAGAGATAAGAGGGGAAAGAAGAAGAAGGATCTAATTAAGGAACATGTATAAAGGACCCATGGTAACGGACAACAGGGTGGGTATTCACTGAGGGGGGTGAGGCAGGAGAGAGCAATGGGGGCAACAATTGGGACAACTGTAATTGAACAATAATAAAACAAGAATTTTATTTTTATTGATTGATTAGTAGAGAGAGAGAAACAGAAACATCGTTTCTTGTTCGACTTATGGATGCACCCACTGCTTGATTCTCTCGTGTGCCCTCTCCTGGGATCAAACCCCCAACCTTGGTGTTTGGGGACCACGTTCTAGCCAACTGAGCTACCCAGCCAGGACCACACTCGCAATTATTCACCTGATGTGGACACTGAACTGCGTGCCCTGCAAGTTTTGGTTTGCCAAACGTGGGAACCCCGTCTGCCCACAAACCCACCTACAGCCTTAACCCGTTCCTCGCCACTCTTAGAGCCCCCTGCCCCGAAGGACCCCGGTCCTCTCCACTCTCACTTCTGGGGCCCGGCCGGCAGACCAAGGAGCCCGCCCCGCCCCTGCGGCTCCCCGGAGCCCCTCCCACCCCGCCCCCGGAGCCCGCCCTGCGACTCCCGACCCCGCCCCCAGGCCGGTGGCGCCCGTGCGCAGGCGCGGAGGGCGGGCGCGGGCGGAATGGGGACTGCAGCGGCGGCAGCGGCGGCGGCCGGGGAGGGGGCGCGCAGCCCGAGCCCCGCCGCCGTGTCGCTCGGCCTGGGCGTGGCTGTCGTGTCGAGCCTGGTGAACGGGTCCACGTTCGTGCTGCAGAAGAAGGGCATCGTGCGTGCCAAGCGGCGAGGTAGGGCGGGCCGCGGGCTGCACTGGGGTCGGCGGGGGTGGAGGACGGCCGCCGGTGCACCCTCAGGGTCCCGCCTGAGCCCGGGACGGGGACGGGAACGCGGCCCTGCGCACCGCCCGTGTCTCCACCGGGGCCGCTCCCGAGGCCGCCCGGAATCGCCCGGCGCCCCGAGCGATGGTAGTTGGGTCGCCGCCACCGCTTCTCTCCCTTCCCAGTGGCCGGCGGGGCCTGGTTCAGGTCACAGCGTTTCTCCAGCCCGCTTCTTCCTCCTGCCCGGGCCGTGCGTGTCCCCTCACCCGCCGCCGGGTAACCCTCCTGTGCACAGCGGCCCCGAAGTGGGCGCAGTCCGCGGCCCGGCCTGCTTTCGCGCTGCCGGCGGGCGCCCACGTGAGAACTGCGCGCTGCGCTGGCCGGCGGGCGAGGGGGCTGTGCCCTCCCGGGCTGCCGCGCGTGGGTCCGGGCTGGACCCTTCTCGGGTTTAGACGTGAACCGTCCGACTGCAAGGGCTGTGCAGTGACGAAAAGGCAAGGCAGCGTCCTAAAACCCCCAAAGGGCCGGCTGAGCCTTGCGCGGGGGCCGCAGCGGGTTGAACCTGGCCTTCGGCGCTGGAGAAGGTGACAGCGTCGCGGTCCTGCTCCGCCCGTTCCCCTCGGTGCTGAGGCCGAGGCGCTTGACCGAACGCGACACGCGCTTTGAAAGTGAAAGGAGACCTTTTGGCCGTGAGGACTGAGTGGGTGTTAGCCGGGAGTCGCGAGTTGGAGAGCCAACTCCTTTCATAGTTCGCATTCCAAAACGCTGGTGACCCGTTCCCTGAGCGGCCTCGGGTCCCGGAGCGCCTTCAGGAAAGCGATAAAGGGACCCAGAATAGGGAGTGAAAAGTCATGGGTATTTGTGATAACATGGCTGACTGTACATAGAATCTAACTAAAACCAAGTAGCGTTTCTTTAGCGTGCAGATGTGATGTGTCTCTCAGGTGACAAACAGACGGCGGGGGGGCGGGACGGCGGGGCGGGTTGGTTCTTAGAGGAGTGCCTGGCAGTCTGCAGGGGGTCAGGGGTGGCTGAAGTGTTTGCTGTGACTCAGAAATAAAGAACCCACATGCCCCAGGCAGGGTGGGTGAGACGGGCACCTCACCTCCTCGGGTGACCCCCCACAAGCCCACCGCCCCAGCCTAACCATGAGAAAAACATCTAACAGACTTACTGGATTGGCTAAAAAGTCCGTGTAGTTTTTTTCCATAAAATAAAAGACACATTTTTCATTTTCCCTGATAACTTTATTGATTTGGATATTTTGAGTGTGTTGGCTCTCTCCCGCTATTGACTTCTAATGGGTAGAGGCCAGGGGCGCTGCTGAACATCTTCCAATGCATCAGACAGACAGGAAAGAATCATTTGGCCAAAATGTCAGTAGAACCAAGAAACTTCACAAACCAATTTTGACACATTCAATCAGTCACAGCCCCTTCTCCATACACTGCACAAATTATTTCTTGTGTTTCAGTCGCGTTTTTACCTTTCTTGAAACCATAGAGCATAATATGCCGAAAATATTGCATATTGTCTTCCATCTTCAATGTTAAAATGGCCACACAGAAATTCACCAGTTTTGGTAAGTTTTTTTTTTAAATGCATGCTGATAGGACAGCTGTCACAAAGCAGTCCTACACAGTTGTTTCGGATGAAGTTAAAGACAACAAAATACTAGAGTCATTAAAGCGAAAAAACTAAACGGACTTTTTGGCCAACCCAGTAAACTGAGGGACAGCCTGTCGAGGTTGTACAGTCTGAGAGACTCTCCTAGACGAGATAAGACACAAGATAATCTCTACAGAAACCTAAACATAGATGTCAGTTAATGAAAACCAGACAATCATGGGGTCAAACTAAATGTGTCACTTCAGCTCAGCTTATGTGTTCACAGGAGTTAGTGAATCCGAGAAAAAAAAAGCCAACCTGAGCCCTGGCTGGTGAGGCTCAGTGGGTTGAGCGCTGGCCTGTGAACCAAAGGGTCACTAGTTCAATTCCCAGTCAGGGAACATGCCTGGGTTGTAGGCCAGGTCCCCAGTAGGGAGCCCTCCAGAGGCAAACACACATTGATGTTTCTTTCCCTATCCCTGCCTTCCCCTCTCTCTAAAAATAAACAAATAAAAAAATAGAGTTTTAAAAAATCAACCTAAAAAAAAAAAAGAAAGAAAACCCATGTCCAACGCTGCTTTTGTACCTGCCTGCTATGCCTTTAAACTTAAAAAAGTGAAAATGCGACATTCGCTCATTTTATATTTCCCCAGTTGCCACACACCACTTCTGGCACACGCTAGCTGGGCTGGTTGTGGTGGGGGAGACAGACAGAGTCTTGTTTTGATGGCTTCGTGTTGATTTGTTCAGCGGACCTTTGCGAGGCCCTTATTGTGTGCGAGGCACTGCTGTGGATATTGAGGTTACCCAGTTTTAGAATCTGCTCCTTCTAGGACCTGTCATCACCTCTGTTAACCAGCCGCAGAGCTGACCGCTGTGAGACGCCTGCAGCTGAGGAGATAAGAGGAAAGAGGGGGTAGCTAGGGGCTGGGGAGGGCTGGTGGTTTTTAACGTGGTAAAACCCTCTGTCTCACTGGAAATTTCAACTTTAGATGAACTGTCCGGTGGTAGTATTTCTTTGGAGTTTCAGTTTCAGGCGAGCCAAGGGCGTGGCTTTTTTCTGGGTGTGGCTTTTTCTGGTAAGGGGCTTTCAGTCTTTTTTTTTTTTTTAAGATTTTATTTATTTATTTATTTTTAGAGAGAGGGGAGCAGGGAGAGAGAAAGAGAGGGAGAGAGACATCGATGTGAGAAAGAAACATTGATCTCTTGCCTCTTGTATGCTCCCAAACCAGGACCAAACTCACAGCCCAGGCGTGTGTCCTGACCAGGTTTCAAACTGGCGGCCGTTTGCTTTGCAGGATGACGCCCAACCCACCGAGCCACACTGGTCAGGGCTCACTGACTCTTGAGAGGACCTTCCCAGTGAATGGGGTGGGCCAGGAGGTCTGGCCACAGCGTAGGCTTGGATGGACTGCCTGGCTGCTGGGGAGTCTTTGAGGGACCCTGCTGATGGGGAGAAGGCAGCAGGTGGCACTTGGGGCAACAGGTCATTTACAGTATGTCTAGGGTGAGAGCCCAGTGGAGGTAGAGTTTCGATGAGGGAAGCAAGGTAACCACAGGGCATGAAGGCATCTGTGGAAAGGCAGCTACAACATTAGAATTTCTGTGCCCTGGCTGGCGTAGCTCAGTGGATTGAGCGAGGACTGGGAACCAAAGTGTCCCAGGTTCGATTCCCAGCCAGGGTACATGCCTGGGTTGCAGGCTATAACCCCCAGCAACCGCACATTGATGTTTCTCTCTCTCACCCTCTCTATCTCCCTCCCTTCCCTCTCTAAAAATAAATAAATAAAATCTTAAAAAAAAAAAGAATTTCTGTGCGTGGAGTATGGGTGAGGAGGGCCAGGGGGTCTGTCAGTGTGGGGCGGTGTCCTGCCCCCAGGACAGGCTATGCGGAGAGTCTCACAAAAGCCAGGTCTTTTAATTTGTGTGAGGTTTTGGAGAATTGAATAGACAAGTAACTCTGTGTTGATGCCTAGGCCAGGATGAACCTGAGGATCTTTTAAAATCCCCTTTCATCAAAACCAAGAGACAGCAACTAACAGCCATTAGGCTGCTATTGTGGAGGAACGGGCACTCTTGTGCACTGTTGGTGAAAATGTAAAATTGGTGCAGCTGCTATGAAAAAGACTATGGTGATTCCTCAAAAACATAAACGTAAAATTACCACATGGTCCAGCAATGCCACTTCTGTATGTACACCCAAAAGAAAGCAGGGACTTGAACAGACGTTGGTGCCCCTGTGTTTATAGCAGCATTGTTTGCAATAGACAAAAGGCGGAAACAATCAGCTTTGGCTGGGTGGCTCAGTTGTTTGGAGTGTCGTCCTGTACACCACAAGGTTGCTGGTTTGATCCCTGGTCAGGGCACACGCTTGGGTTGCATGTTCGGTCCCTGGTCATGGTGTGGTTGGAAGGCAACTGATCGATGTTTCTCTAAAGTCAATAAACCTACCCTTGGGTGAGGTTTTTTTTTTTTTAAAGGTGGAAACAACCAAATAGCCATCGACAGATAAATGGATGAACAGTCTGTGGTATATGCATTCAATGGAATATTATTTAGCTGTAAAAAGGAAGGGAATTCTTCTACCTGCTACAACCTGCGTGAACCTTGAGGACATGATTATAGCAAGTGAAATCAGCCAGTCACAAAAGGACACATTCTGTTACAATTTCACTCATACGAGATATACAGAATGGGCAAAGTCACACGGACAGAGAGTGGGATGGTGGTCTCCAGGGGAAGGGAAATAGGGAGTTTGTATTTAATGGGGACAGACTTTCAGTTTGGACTGTGCATGTTATACTATGTATATTTTACCATAGTTCTTTTTAAAAAGCCATTCAGATCTTGTCATCTCCTCCCCGAGGGGAGCACACCCAGAGGTGCAGTCACACAAAGATGCTCAGAAAAGTGAGGGAGTTGTCCCGCAAGAGTAGAAACTGACCTGGGTGTCCCGTCCGCCTGTCTGCACACCCTTCCACAGGGCAGCTTCCTGAAGGGCATGTGCTTGCTCCCGGGCCGCGGGACATGCCCGAGCTTCCACCTGGCCTCTCCTACCATCTCGGGGCACGCAGCTGGGAGCCCATGGCCCCATACCGGAGCCCACGTGGACATGCATTGTCATCACTCCTGCAGCCCTTTGGGTCTGTGGTTATACTGTATCTTTGCCATGTATTATGCACTCCCGTGTATGATGTGCACCCATGTTTTTCCGCACATTATACATAGGATTGTTATACCTATGTATAATGCACATCCTTATTTTTCCCTCAGAAATTTGGTCAAAAAAGTGCACATTATACACGGCAAAAAGATGGCAATTCCTCTGCTTCTGTGAACCTTCCACGCATGTCATTTGGTGT